TCTGCATAGAATTTGAGGTCCGTTTTCTACATTAATTTTGTCTTAGTACCATTCATCCTCTCCTGTAAAGCAGCTGACCCATGAACTTGGATAATGGTGCACATCATGGATGTGGCCAGTGCAAGGGGCCACATGAGTCCTGCAGACACCTGGTGAGGAGCCTTTGAGCCTCTGCCTCCCAGGAAGCAGCTCTGACTGTTGAGTAAGGAACTGTGATTTCAAAGTGTCCCCTCTAATCCAGGCTTCCCCCAATCAGAGGTTCCTTAGTCACTGCCTCACTTCTAGTCATAGAAGTCCCTAACCATAGCCACAGGCCACCCTGAAATGGAAGGCCAAGCTGCAAAGTGTTCGGTGCCCCTGCAGCAGTAGAGATCCCAGCACTAAGGCCAGGTAGAATTGAGCCTCACATGGGAAGTGGAGGGTGTGGCCAGCAGGTGAGGAGCAGGCCTGGCCAAACACAGCCCTTCTGTGCACAGCCCAAGGTCAGCTTTTCAATCTGCAATTACAGCAACAAGCTGCCAGATGTTCCAATAGGACTGTATTGGTAACATTGTGTTAAACCCCATGACAAAGGAGAGGAAGAGATGCCTTCTCTAGAAAGAGGCTAACTGTGCTTTTGCAAAACTTGAAGGCCGTTGGGAATTTTACTACATGTGGTAAATTCAAGCGTCAAAAGAAATATAGGTCTCCAGATAGTTTAGCATTTAGCAGCACTTGGATCCCAAATTAGGCTTTCAGTTCAGCAATCCCTGAGGATATATTTTGCCTCAGTGAATGCACAAAGCACAATTCTGAAACTACTACTTAGTTCCCAAGCATAGATGGCTTCTCCCAATTGTACATGGTAGCCCACATCAGCCTCAATTTAGTTAAAATTGTAAAATATTAAATGAAAATTAGCTGACGGCTGTGATGTATGGGTACGGTGGGGATGGGGGTGAGATTGCTCTCCACATTTCAGATGTGCAGTTGACATGACTCAGCCCAAATCCTATAGCCCTAGAGGGCAGGGCTGGGACTTGGACCCAGTGAGATGCGGCCCCAGTCTGCGCTCTCAGTCAACAAGCCACCAGTGTCTGTGCTTGCCCTGCCCTGCATCAGCCATGGTTACATTGCCTGTGTGTAGAAAGTAACTACTAAGGAGCAGACATTGTGCTAGGTTTTATTTCTTTTTTAATCTTTGCAAAATTTCACTGCAGCATAGCATGGTAAGACGTGGGACTTCAGACAAGTCTCTAGAACACCAAATTTGCCTGGTGCATTTCCAAGTCTAATTTCTAACTGGTGGTGTCTTCTGCCTGCAGTAGTCTTCTCTTGCCTTAGTCTCTACTCACCCTCGAGGTACAGCATGACTCCCACCATCTTCATAGAACTTAAAAAAACTATCATAGAGAATGGCCATCTATCATGTGCTACTGATAAAATTAATTATATGTACCAACCATTTGCAACTAAGTCAATACTAGAAGCAGTATATGGGATTTTGTATATTTGCTCTATAAATGTTCATTGTTTTATAACACTTATTAATTTGTAATATCATATGCCATTAAAAATAGCAAAAAGATTATATGTAGGGTGTCTGAAAGATATTTGAATCCCTCACAGTTTTAGCACAGATGTTATTTTTGAGGTTGACCTGGAAGACAAATACCTACTTAGGTTCAGATCCTGGCCCCATTCCTTAACACTGTGGACATGTTTCATCTGAGCCTTGATGTCCTTGTCTATCACATGGAGATGACAATAGCAGTGCTTCACNCAGAATCTGAAGCTACCTGATGATGAGCGGTCTATGAAATGCAATCCTGGCTGCTCTCTTCTTCGAAGTTAAAGACCCCATCTGTTTCCTCTTCTTTACTTCCTATTTCTTATGTCCTTTGCTTATTTCTTATCTGCAAACAGAAGAATCATTTCTATAGCAAGATTCTCTTAACTTCAGAGTGTGGATGGTGAGAGAATACCATTCTGCATAGAATTTGAGGTCCATTTTCTACATTAATTTTGTCTTAGTACCATTCATCCTCTCCTGTAAAGCAGCTGACCCATGAACTTGGATAATGGTGCACACCATGGATGTGGCCAGTGCAAGGGGCCACATGAGTCCTGCAGACACCTGGTGAGGAGCCTTTGAGCCTCTGCCTCCCAGGAAGCAGCTCTGACTGTTGAGTAAGGAACTGTGATTTCAAAGTGTCCCCTCTAATCCAGGCTTCCCCCAATCAGAGGTTCCTTAGTCATTGCCTCACTTCTAGTCACAGAAGTCCCTAACCATAGCCACAGGCCACCCTGAAATGGAAGGCCAAGCTGCCCAGTGTTCGGTGCACCTGCAGCAGTAGAGATCCCAGCACTAAGGCCAGGTAGAACTGAGCCTCACATGGAAAGTGGAGGGTGTGGCCAGCAGGTGAGGAGCAGGCCCGGCTGAACACAGCCCTTCTGTGTGCAGCCCAAGGTCAGTTTTTCAATCTGCAATTACAGCAACAAGCTGCCAGATGTTCCAACAGGCCTGTATTGGTAACATTGTGTTAAACCCCATGACAAAGGAGAGGAAGAGAAGCCTTCTCTAGAAAGAGGCTAACTGTGTGCTTTTGCAAAACTTGAAGGCCGCTGGGAATTTTACTACATGTGGTAAATTCAAGCGTCAAAAGAGATATAGGTCTCCAGATAGTTTAGCATTTAGCAGCACTTGGATCCCAAATTAGGCTTTCAGTTCGGCAGTCCCTAAGGATATATTTTGCCTCGGTGAATGCACAAAGCACAATTCTGAAACTCCTACTTAGTTCCCAAGCATAGATGGCTTCTCCCAATTGTACATGGTAGCCCACATCAGCCTCAATTTGGTTAAAATTGTAAAATATTAAACGAAAATTAGCTGAGGGCTGTGATGTATGGGTATGGTTGGGATGGGGGTGTGATTGCTCTCACATTTCAGATGTGCAGTTGACATGACTCAACCCAAATCCCATAGCCCTAGAGGGCAGGGCTGGGACTTGGACCCAGTGAGATGCGGCCCCAGTCTGCACTCTCAGTCAACAAGCCGCCAGTGTCTGTGCCTACCCTGCCCTGCATCAGCCATGGTTACATTACCTGTGTGTAGAAAGTAACTACTAAGGAGCAGACATTGTGCTAGGTTTTATTTCTTTTTTAATCTGTGCAAAATTTCACTGCAGCATAGCATGGTAAGACGTGGGACTTCAGGCATGTCTCTAGAACACCAAATTTGCCTGGTGCATTTCCAAGTCTAATTTCTAACTGGTGGTATTTTCTGCCTGCAGTAGTCTTCTCTTGCCTTAGTCTCTACTCACTCTCAAGGTACAGCATGACTCCCACCATCTTCATAGAACTTAAAAACTATCATAGAGAATGGCCATCTATCATGTGCTACTGATAAAATTAATTATATGTACCAACCATTTGCAACTAAGTCAATACTGGATGCAATATATGGGTTTTTATATATTTGCTCTATCAATGTTCGTTGTTTTATAAAACTTATTAATTTGTAATATCATATGCCATTAAAAATAGCAAAAAGATTATATGTAGGGTGTCTGAAAGATATTTGAATCCCTCACAGTTTTAGCACAGATGTTATTTTTGAGGTTGAACTGGAAGACAAATACCTAGTTAGGTTCAGATCCTGGCCCCATTCCTTAACACTGTGGACACTTTTCATCTGAGCCTTGATGTCCTTGTCTATCAAACGGGGATGACAATAGCAGTGCTTCACAGCTTGGGAGGACTTAATGAGAAAAATGCAGGCAAAACACTGAGAATTATGTCTGGCACATAGCAAATGCTCACTAAATGTTGACTACGATGATTAGTTTCTTATTGTCGTTACATACATGCGAGCTTAGTAAAAATTGGTGAATGTATGGATTTTTTGTAGTATAGGGTGGGGACATTTACAAGTGTTGGTGTCTCTGCCTCTCTAGGTTGGGACTGAAGACTTATCGATAACCCACAGTCTTTATCCTCGCTCTGGATAGAAGTGAGATGGTATGAAAGGAAGCTGCCTTCCTTCTGTACTGCACTGTTGTCACCTGCTGTCACAGTTGTCCCGGGTCATTTAATTACATGGGTAACTATGCTGGGCACTGCACAAAAAGACTCATCTTTAGATAAAATTCTTGTCCATTGGGAGCTCACAATAGCAAGGACATTTTGATGGACATGTGAATTACAAGTTAATGACAGGGAAAAAAGACCCACCAGTTAACATAAAACACCTTTAAAATTGAAAGGGGCCTTAGAAATTATTCTAGTTCTCTAATTTTACAGACAAGATGCCAAGGTTCAAAGAGCTAAAAGGACCTGCCCACAGTCCCTCGGTTGTGCAGAGCTGAGACTACTAGGATTGGGGTCTCCAGGCCACAGGCACTCTTCCACTACAGGGTCAGTGTGTCACACACCTGCAGGGGGTGCTGTTCTCATTTACTTACAACATGAGGTGAATGGCACCTCTCCCTTAGACTTGTGCAAAATGGCAGTGCTGTTTCCATTTCAACTCTGTGCCCATAAATGTAAACAGACAGTGAGTTCTTGTTCCGTGCAGTTCAAGAACATGGTATATAAATTCAAATTATTGTGGGAGTTACAAGGAAGTATAACAATTAGCTGTGGGGGTCAAGAAGAATATTTCCAAACTGCATGTCAAGGTGTAGCGGGAGTATGAATTTGTCAGGATCAGGTATGGAGGTTTCTGTGAGGGGCTAAATTTTTCAGAATTTTTGTTCACGTCATAAAGCACTTCCCAGAAAAGAAAGCCCAAAATTAAAATCATCAACTCCCCTGGCCTTAGAATTAGATCTTTTAAGGATTTTTTTCTTACCTATCACCAACGAGATGGATGTCTATAACTCTCTGAGGACATTTTATTACTACACAAAAAGTCTACACTCGGGAAGTCCTTCAGCATGTCTAACTTAAATCCGTCTTGCTGCAGTTGAAACCACAAGCACTTACATTATTCTTTCTAGTGGATGTAGATTGACAGGCCTCTGGAATAAGCTCATATCTTCTTGTCTTTTAGAGAAGTTTCTCCATAACTAAACTGCAGCCCTTCTCCTTGAATCTCAGATGCTTTATTCCTTTCATGGTTTCACACACACATGGATGACTTTAGGAAATAAAGTGAATGAAAAATAGAGATAATAAAGGTATACTGAAACAGGAGTAACAGGAGAAGAAAATAGAAAGTTCTTTATTATTTTCAAAGCAACTAAGTGAAGTCATTGATGAGAGAGAAAAAAAAATATCTGTCATTGAATATTTCCACCAGAGAGGAAAATAGGTACCAAAGAATGAAATTTGACTCATATTTGTAAGTTTCACTGAGCACGAAAATATCCGTTCAGCAGAATTATCTGCTAACCTGCTTGTTCCCACCTTCCTGTCCTTCAGGGCATCTAGTTTGCCTCTTGCACATGAAAGATGCCTGCACTCATAGGGATGGAGACAGGCAGAGGAACTTTCCCTGGGTGGTCCAGGAGGGCTCTCCAGGAGCAGCCTGCCCATGGGAGGCAGGCTCAGTCCTATGCAGTTGTATTCCCACAGGAAAGTTCTGTTTGAGTGAAAAAGGACAGGGAGTCCCACACACCCCACTCTCCTCTCCCACTGCAATATGGAGTTCTTGTGACCATGACTGAATACTGAGCTCTAGTCCTGCCGACGCTTCCCTGAGGTTGGGCTTTGGGGACTGCCACTGTCCCCCTGACATAGGCTGCAATGGGCAGAGGAAGCAGGCTGGAAGGAATCTAATGTGTGTGCATCCTTGGCTGGGGCTCAAGGAGGAAGATGGGGGACAGGAGGGATCGCTGTTGAATGACAAGAAGTGCAGGATGTGGATTGAGCAGGGGCATCCGGACTGACTGACGTTGTCTGCTGCAACGAGCCTCGGGGGGCATGGGCCTTAGGATCTCTCTGATCTCCCCAAGGCATTGGTGGGTGTAAAAGTGAGGGGAGTCAACTTGGAGGCCTCCTTGATTGACTCCTCTTATGTAATGTGGAGCAGCATTGGGGGGGGTGTGCATGTGTGTGCGCATATGTTTGCACACGTGTGTGTGTGCATGTGTGCCCATGCTGCTGCTGGGTGCACAGAGACTCACACAGTGAGATCACAGCCCTAACACTGGCAGAGGGGAAACTGAGTTCAGGACCAGGCACCTTCAGGGAAACAGCTTCTAGGGTGCTAACCACGGAAACGAAAACTAACTAACTAGGCAAGGGGTAGAGTGAGGGGTCAGAGGAAGGAAGAGGGGAGGTCTCAAGTCCTCAGTAATTCCCACCTGTCCTGAGTTCTGTGTCTTCTATCTATAACATCAAACTGGAGACAATGTCCAAACTTCCACCACCAACAACCATACTGGCTGCACGCCAGGAGCCCCAGGGCTCTACTGAATTTACATATAAATTAGCATGCCTGACTTTTTTTCATCAGGAATCAATTCAGGGAAGTATAATATTTGCTCATACTTTGAATGGTCCCTGAACAGATGAGTGGAAAGAGGTGCTGGAAACGTCTCCAGGGTGAAACCCAATTTGGTGGCTTGTTCCTATCTTGGGGTGGGGCTGGTGGCATCGGGGCTATCTCGGATCTTGTCACATTCCACCAAACCTGAATTTCCTAAGGAGAACAGTGGCCTTAGGTGTGCTGCCCACCTCCAGGCAGCTCTGCACAGGCTTCGGTGTGTCATTATAGAGCGAGACTGCCCAATTTTAAGGCAGAATGACCCCTGCAGACCCCCATACCACCCGCCAGTCAGATGCAGCAAAGGTGGTGTGTGTTTTCTCTTTCAGGGGAAGGAAGCTGGAGTCTGCCACCATCTCTTATCAAACTTGCAGAATTACTGAGGCGGCCCAGGTCTTGCCTGCAATAATCCC